CAAAAAGCGAAGATGAGGACGACGACGGCTAGTTGAAGGCGAACATGTCTGGAGAGCGATGCCGTGTATACAGTACTGTGCAAACTTATCGAGAATTCGGAGCTCACAGGCTGATCTTAACAATGGGTGGGTTACGACAATGGCACCCGTGCCAGCGTTCGTTTGTCTTCCTTTTGTGTGCGCCTTAGCTTGCGGCGAAATGCGTGCTTTGTACATATTTCATTCACTTGGGCCTACCGGGTACCTATAACCCCTACAAGACATAGTATGGTGGCTTATCAAACAAAAGGTGCTTTTTTCTCTCTATATATATTAGTCACCTTAATTCAGCGTTCAGCATGCAGCCGCAGAGCTCTCCCTGTTTTTGCTAGTGCCTGAACAGAGCTATGCGTAGCGGTGAAGTGAGCTGAATCTGGCGTATAGATGTCTCGAAAACCAGCAAGCGTTTCAATAAGTATTCTGCATGAGCCATACACCACCCCATAATCCTTGCCGTCCTAGGGTGCGACGAACTGAGATTCAATCGAAGTAGATTGGCGCGTCTTTAACGCGACCGATACCACGTACCTTATGCGATGTCATATTGCAACAAATGAATTCGAGTGTCTCTGCAAATCGTAGTCCATGTGAGTGCTCGTTGCTGAACTGCTATCCGTTTAAATTTTGAGAATCATCGTGAGGTGTTTACTGTCACAATACTTTTTTTGCCTTTTTTATTTGTTAGTAGGCACTTTTATTTCGATTGCAGCTGTTACCATCGGCGTCTTGACAGTTTATACAGACAGTAGGCAATTTACTATGAGTGGTTGCACAAGGGGGACGATATGAGTTAACATTTTGGAAATACGCACTTACTAATGTTTCAGCGTGCGAGAAAAGAGAGAAATAAAAAATAAACACTAACTCTCAATTAAGAAAAATAAAAACAAAAAGATCTACCTATATAGTAGGGGGATATGGCAGTTTCACAAGGATACACCTGTAATCTCGAATCTTAGTTCAGTACCGTCGTAGTTTAGTTTATGACGTGCCGGAGTCGACACGGGTCTTATCCGCCCTGGTGGCACGCACATTATCACCCATAGTTAACTACAATATCCTTGTCAGGAGATGTATACTGTTTAAGAGTACGGCTAACAGAAAAGCTGAAAGGCCTTATTTTAACCGGGACGCCTTATGTGTCCTGTGGCACTCGGAGTAAAAACAGATCGTATCTGTGAACCAAGATTGAAAGCAAATGTTTTCAGCTATCGAAGTGCTTTTAGCCCTGTGAGAACATCAAATTAAACAAAAATAAATGCAAGGAAGCAGGTAGAACGAATAGCGAACCGAGTAATTCAGCTTCACCTTTAAAATAAATATTCTGAAAATATATGCCTGGCTGCGGACAACTGAGTTTAAAGGAAAGAGAGAAAACTCTAACCGAAGTTTACTTTAAAAACTCTGAAGTTTCAGGACCTGATCGCAATTATCCTTGAGAAATGAGAAGGCCCGAGGTGTGCAGCGCTTATACGTTGTGAAATCTACAACGTACGATAAGCCATCGTGCAGGAAAAAAGAACTGCTCGCTACACCGATCCCAGCATGCATGACCTTTATATAACCAGCATTAAACCTAATAAATACAAGAGAAGGAAGACAGATTATATAGGTTAGTCTCGGTATGGCTGGAAACAGTTCCACAAGACCAAGGAGTGCGATTCAGTCAGTATACTTGAGGAGGATGTAGCGAATCACAGTTATGTAAATCCGCACTTTCTCAGACGACCGCGCTGTGTACCATTTATTTGTCTCCACAACGCCATTATCCGCTCCCGGCGCCTTCCTCCTGTACCGCCTTTTAAGTGCCATAAAGCGTACTCCCATTCGCATTCACCGCGCTAAGCCTTAACTTATTTCGTTCCTAATTATCCATTGTCTGCCTCAGCCCATTGAACGGCAGGTGTAGGAATGTTTTGATCTTATTTCTGCTCTCTATATAAGTAGTTCGCGATTGTACGGTTAAACGAGTTCCTGTACAAGGCGGGTTCATTGAAATTTCCTCTCGTTACCAACGGCATCGTTGAAAAAAATAACGACAAAAAATTTGATCGCAATTTATGGTGCCGTGTGCAGTAGGTGGATTATCCTAGATCAGAATAACGTGATGCAGTACTAACTCACTTTGGTTCGTGTTCGTTATTCAAGAGTGTGGTCCGAGCGGCGTTTCAGTATTACGCCTGAATGGGTCGTTCGGAGGGAAGAAGGGGGGCAAGTTCGGGCACAGCAAAAAGGAGCATAACCGATCGCGAAGAGGCCTTACATAATACTAGTTCCAATAAATTCCACACTTTTACAGCACAGAGCGTCGCGGCATTAAGCTGGTGTACGCAACCCACATATGTGCGAACCAACGCAAGTCGCAACTGGCGGCCTCCGTGAACATACTAGTCAGCTTATAGAATTTGGTTCCTGTTCAACGGTGTGTCTGCGCGCATTGATTACGAACTGCGTGGGACTATATCGAGGCAAATAAGCCCATGTCCGCTTATTTGCATAAGGATTCGACCCAGCGCCACCCGCATAATGAACGCGTTAGCGCAAGCCCGCGCGCATACTCGTACGCCGTTGCTCTTTCTACTGCACTTTTGTACCACTGCGGCGTCGGACGCGCTGCTCTAATTTTATGTACTCGACTCCCCCGCTCTTTTTCTTCTCGTCGTTCGAGCCATATTCAATTACGCCCATATCTGTCTGTGTACGCCTATGAGGAGGAGCGTGTCATTTATGTCAGGGAAACCTAATTTTTTCTCTCGGCAAATCTGCTCAAATTGGACCTTGTGAAGGAAGAAAAAGAAATACGTGTTTCCCCACATCCATAGTAGTACCTCGTCGAGAGAGGGACATAATCAATGACGTTCGCGTCGTTTCATCAGCGCCGTCCTGTGCGGAGTCTGTCGAATGCCGCCCAAAGAGAAACACAGCCACAGTGCTGTGTGAACACGGGTTCCAAAAGAAGGCGTCGCCGCGTCATTCGGGCGTGTCCCTCGTAATCTCCCGCAAGCCGGCGGCCGTGATAGAAGGCTATCGGCCTTCGGTCATCCATGGCTCAAACCTCCTGTGGCGCAAGCCTTTCTGAATCCAGCACGTTTGCACAAGCGCGCGAACGGAGCAGTGGCCGTAGAACAGAAGCGCAGACGCACGACAAGACTATGCAACCGCACCACAGAGTCGATCAGAGCCCGAAATACGATCGGGCTGCGAAATTAGGCTTCTTGCCTCTCTTACAGTTTCGTTTATTTTTGTTTTTTTCCGCTCTCTATCCTTACTTTTCATACAAAGCAACGTAGAGAAAATACCGAGCGGGCGACGAGTCGATAAACGCGATCATTTATTACCATCGCTGCCGGACGGCGCTGGTCCACTCTCTCACGCCGCTCCATTGTTTCAGAGAAAGGGCCTCCCCGTGGCATCCTCCTCCGCCTCTTCTTTACCCCCACGCAGCTTTTATGCCACCTTCGCGAGTGCATACGCGACGGTGACCGATGGCGCTTGCAGTCTTATACCGCAGATGAGAGAAAAGAAAAAAAAATACAATACGTCAGAAAACTAACTTTCAAGCGCTTGCTTTTATTAGAAACGTGCGGAAGCTCCAAGTTTTTGTTTCTGCGCGAACTAAGCCGACCCAGTGTGCCCGAGCCAACACTGTGGAGCTATTTTATTTGGACAGTTAAAGCTGGCAAAATGAGAATGACTGCACAAGAGACACGACTGTTTTCGCAGCAGCATATAGCTTTTTCTGTCGTGTGAATACATCGTGAAGTGGAAGAGATCGGTTTTCGAACGGCAACGCGGCTACTGCTGCATCTGTCGATTTTTTTTTATTGACGTGGTGTCGATTGTTTCGTACAGCTGTGAAACTCGCAAGACCGACTGCAAATAAAATTAATACGATTTTGTTTCAGAACATATATTCCTTTGTCCGTTATCTGTGTATTTCACGATGTTGTACACACCATGCAGTCACTTGCGCTGAACACGTGGTCCCCAGTACCGCTTGTCGTATCATACAGGATACACTCCTAGTGAACTTATTTACAAAAACTATATATAAAAAAAACGTCTTACTCTAGACTTGTTGCCAAGAGAGAATTTTAGCCAATCTGATGCTGGCAATGTCGTCAGCCAAGCCGGATGGCCGTAGGGAATGGGGACTTATGAACGAAAGGCTTTTGTGAATTCAACCGCTAATCTTGGAAGCAATGTCACAACCTTTTTCAAAAGCAAATGTGTTTCTAGAACACTATTTTATAATAAATATCTGGTTTAAACAAAAACATGAAACAAAACAAGGATGATGTTTTTTTGTGATTGTACTCGCTGAATTATAGGTTCGTTAACTTGCCGAGAGCGAACCTAAAAATGACGCACGTGGCACACAGGGCAACCTCAAATAAAAGATCATAGCTTACGACTGGCTTGTGGCTCATTATGTTGGGCTATGTCCAGCCATGTCGTTTCACTGAGCGCGTAGTAAAAGATGCGACCACACTCCAACATAATCAAAACCACACTCCAACATAACATCAACGTGGTTTACTGTGGGTCCCTGCACACCGCTTCACTACCCAAAGTTTTCATCCGCCCACAACTTCACACAAATCAATCTTGCGGCAGGGGTGTTTTGTATGGACAAAACGAATCGCAGTCAAAGGAGCGGGCTGTCGTGGTTCCTTTCATCGCTATGCAGAGACGAGAACAGAGGGAGATTGGCAAAGAAAGGCCGCGATAGCGTCTGTCTATTCGACAGGACGACACCAGCAATTAACGACACGGGAACGATTAACGACGACGAAGCCCGAGACCTGATTAGCGCGTTCTCCACGTTGGCCGCTGTGCAAGCGTGGCAGCCGTTTTGGCAAAAGGGCGCGACCTTGGCGTCACACGTAAGATGCGCGCGAAGACGGCCCTTGTTTACCTCGCCGTGAAAACCGTGGCCGAAATGGGAGCAGCGGACTTACTGGTGGGATCTCCAACGTCCTCCTCTTCGGCCTCTCCTTCGGGAGCATCTTTGGCAGGAGCCTCTGGAGGCGGATTGGCCACTGCGAACACAGAGAGGCAGAAGTGAATCAGCGCTTTATGTCCTCAACACCGTGCTGAGGGTGCTCCAGTCACACCGAAAAAGTTCGCTCTACTAAACACAAAACTTACACCAGGGACAGATTCAGATACTCTATAGAAGAGGGGGTTATGACTGTAACTTAGCACAAGGGCCCCATCACAGCATAAATACATTTTAATGTGAGCCCAGAGCTCACAGGTGTCCCAATAACGTGTTTTAATCATAAAAAGCGGTAAACAAAAACAAGGCTCCTACACTTCAGGTACAGGCACATTTTGCTGCGCAAGCATTTGTTAAGAATGAGGTTAAGTGGCTGGTACGTGCGGACATGGGTTGGAGGTACTGAAGAAGGGGGGTGGGGCAGACAAAGCTTTGTAGACAGAGCAACCCCACCCCTTTTCCCTCTGAATCCACCATTGACTTATCTACCGTTTCATACATTAGGTGCAACACTGTGGAAGCTATGCCAGAAGTTCTGTCCGCAAAATGTCTAGTTCCGCGCATCTCGCGCTTGGATTTTGTCGTTGTAAACATGTCCTGAGCTATTTATTGGCTCCGGTTGCACGCTAATTGCGGAGGTCCCGGTAGGATATAAAGGTAACCTAAGCGATACAGAACAACCTTGCGAAAACCGCACAAATAATGGGGTTTGTTTCCGACTCACCCAGCTTGCCATTCTAAACGATGTTCCCCTTTTTTTTACTATGGCGAAACGCATCTTCATTTATTACTCAGTCCAAAAACAAAACAAGAAAATCGTATTACGGGTGGGCCTAGGGTTGACACCTGTCCGACTTTAGACCAGCCTGGTCAGTTTCGTAGATCGCGGGCTGGTGGCTGGTTCGCATCTAAACATGGTCGCTATTCGCTGTTTTTTTTTATAATATCGCAATTATTTATTTTCTGGGGCGCTTTGTAAATTCCAGTTCAATAACCACAACAACAAATAAAAATCACAGCATATCCACACAGTGAATAATGATGAGTGGGGCGAAGTGCTAGAGGGTTATATATATAAATACTGTATATATTTATACAAGAAATTCTACAATTCGTAAGTGGTAGCGATACGTCGCTTCCGTTCCCCCTTCATTATAACGGCTTCATGGACGGTGAAGTGGTGGATCGGTGATGGGGCATGGTGGGATGCTTGCAAGGACGAAGTAGTGGGCAGCTGGCAAAGGTGGAACTATAGGTGGTCACGTGCGTGCGTGCGTGCGTGCGCACACGCACACACACACACACACACACACACACACACACACACACATACATACATACACACATACATACATACATACATACATACATACATACATACATACATACATACATACATACATACAAGGGATGGACAGACCCACGCCTTTAGGAGCTTCGCCCCTAAAAATGTTTATTGACAATCACCGAAACGTTAAAACTATTACTGAAACTTTTTAAAAATCCCTTCAAGTGTGGTGATCAGTAAAATATATCATATTACTGCATGAATATTTATGTATGAATATCCGATATTTTTGTGGCATATGCACCATACACACTTTAACGTTCGTTTGTTCTCTACAGGGTTACTGGTCTAGTTGACTGCGACGCAAAGAAGAGCTTTTTATGGATGAAGTATGCGCGTAATCTTTTATGCAGCACGTTGAAAGCAGTAACCAAAACCGCACTTACTTTTAGTATGAGCATTTTATGCCAGCAACAGGAATGGTTGGTTACCTCAGTGTTGTGAGTTTTTTTGTGCGTGTGTACGTCTACATTAACATAATTTCGCTAAAAAAACATAGTGTCTATTGGGTCAACATTAACTTAACCCCCGCTTCCCTCCCTCAAGGTCTATTTTCTTTTCTAGGAGAAAGGTGGCAACCATACGCGTGGTAACATCATCAAATCATTTCTTGGTACGAACGCATCTGCACCACAAGAAATCTTGCTAGCTTCAATCGCGTTTCACCTGATGTATGAAACGGAATAACTGCGCAGCCTTGTGCAGGTTCACAAGTGAAGTAATAAGCGCCCAAAGATTGAATGAAATGCTGGAAGGCGAGTAGGAGATTGGTAGAAGGTCGTCAGTTGATGCGTTTCCACAATTTAACAGACGTTAGTCTCTGGTGCGTCTTACATTTTAATATTACTCATATATAGCATAGGTCGGCAAAAATTCTGGAGCTCACTCAGACCCCCACATTAAATATATTTTGCATTTAGGTCTAACTCGGACTCAGACTCAGCAAAACTTTCCTCTGCCAGACTCACTTGGACTGTGACTCACGGCTCGATCTAAGTCTGAGTGAGTCCCAAGTAAGTCAACTCATGAGTCGTTTGCCTAGAATCAGCTTTTTAGACAATGATGTCAATGCTCTTTAACACCATTATCTCACGTAATCAGTGCTGCTCTTGGCACCTTTTGATATAGACTCCTTCGAATACGTGCTATGAGTGGTTTCAAACCAGTAAGCCTTTTTTTAAGAGAGATGACAGCATAAGACATATTTATCAAAAACTTCTTTGGAATAGTTGATGGGGGAGAGCGGGGGTCAAAGCACGACCCTACATAACTCATGCCTCTGATCTATAAATATGGAAATGGTATCTATAAATATTGAATACGCGTGGGTATAGCCATGAGTGTAAACGTGAATAAGGTAAGGCTGACAGTAATGCCGAGGATGAGTAGGTAATGGGCCAAACTTATCTCGGTGCCACTAGGAAAGTGCAAGCGGCGCATTATCTTCCAGGGAACACCGACATCATTCTGCCTGTTGAGAAAAATTGCCACTATAGTCACGTGAACAAACGTTAACGAAATGAGTTAAAAAATGCATGCCTTGTTTTTCTTTTTTCCTTCCACCGTTTTATATTATGGCGTGATGCAGAATTGTTTGGTTTGTTTCTGTTTTCCCAAGGCTGACGAAGTGCGTGTGGATGTTTGAAATGGGAACCAAGGCGGTAGCATGCGTATTAGCAACGATGGTCCACCTTACATTTTGACCGGCAGTATGGCTTCTCGTACGATGAGGTTTCAGTAACGTTCTATCGCCTCATGAGAAATGGTGTATATACATAAAGCTCGTATATAAGGATATATACATTGGAGAAATTCCGTTGAGGCCGAACTTTCGTGCTATGGAGTTCCATAAATAAAACGCTCGGATATCAGTGCTGTTCCTGCGTAAGAGGTGTACGATAGCTGCAATAATATAACTATACTAGAAAAAGGGAGAAGGAAGGAAGAATATCGTTGGTGGAAAGGTTGACACGAGCTTGGGAGCATTTTATTACGAGCAAATTCAACGAGGTATACCACGTCAAAAATGATCACGGGTAGGATGAATGTTTTATAACGTGCGCGAAGCGCGTCCCACGTATTCATTCTCAGAGTATTCACATTCATTCTCACAGTATTCGCAGCATTCGGTATTCGCAGCATTCATTCATTCTCCCATTTTCGCCGTTGCAGCTAAAGAAAGAAACTATGGGCGACGTGCGCTTCCCGCACGAATATTCGTGGGTGCGGAGCTGAAATTTGCGGCATGCAAAGCATCTGCTACAGGCGGCTCATTTCCGGAGCGAAACACTCCACTGTGCGCAAAGAGGCCACAGTCGCTGCAATAAAACCGTCTCGATTGAGTTCAAAGTGAAAGACACACAAAAAAAATTACAGAAAAGTACAACGGGTCCCCACGGCTTCCCAGCGGCTGCGTCGTACATGAAAATACGAAGTGCAACAAAAAATAAAAACAAGTGAAGAGGGCAGCGAGAAGACCACACTATTTGCGCACGTCAACAATATAGGAAAACGAATGAAATAACGAGAGCTGGCAGCATATTTAAAGAAGCTAACAGCGTTATCAAAGAACACCAGATGTCTGCGCCACACACGTCAACAGAGGACAAAAAGAGGCCACCTCCAAAGGCGATCTATTCTGTTTTTCCACGTGGCCCGACCCGAGGCAATTCCCCGAGTATACCCGCGATGATGCAGAACAGAGAATAGCCGCCGACGGGGTCAGTGTCGTGGGACCACGTTCCCTGCGGCCGTTCAATAAGCTGGGTCAAATTAGGCCACAGTTTTGTGAACATCTCCCATCAGTCTTCCTCCACGCAAGAGTGCCCCGCGGCGCCACTAGCGACGACACAATCATTGCACTGACGACGAAAATGATAGCCGGGATGAAACATTCTGGTTGCCAACACGCAGATGCGGATGGCAACAAGACGCTTAGTCCGGTATGAGGCCACGAACACCTATACGGGGCACAGTTTCGAGGGCTTCGACCGTTGTTGTCGAGCGTTTTCTTATCAGCGCGTCTCAGGGGCACACGGGCTTCGGCCATCCTTTCTTCTGTTTCGAAAAAAAAAACAAACAAACTCGCACGTCACTGTATAGTGGCTCACAAACACAAGCTGCACCAGGCCTCGTCCGTAACGTTAGTCGTCTTGCCGGAAATCGTCAGCGAGACAGCGGCTCATTATACACGAGGCGTCCCAGTGACCCAGAAGAGTTTATTTATCATCATGATACTACAAATAAGCCGAAGGCATTTCTGCAGGGCGTACGTTAACGAGAAAAAAAAACGCGAATGATGCTTGCAAAGGATACACACCAAAGACAAACACACCATTTCCAGTCATGCAAAGAGCACTCACGCCAAGACCGCAGTCTCTTCAAATAAGAATAAGCCATATACACACAATCACAAATAAGTCTTCGTAGCAAGTATGAGGCAGTTTATTCAGTTGTTTGATGCGGAAGGGAAAAATGACGATTTAAATACCTGATTTTTTGTTCGACAAGAAACTTCGCCCATCTTACTATTATACCCTTGTAGTACGAATATAGTACGTAGCGCTGTAAAATTCGGTGTTTAAATAACAGTATAACTATTCTGATGAGTTTGATTAAACCTTGAACACATAGACAAGGTACAGTGCATATCAAACACGTCCCAATAGAGCATATTGTAGCGTGATTGTGAT